CAGCATCACGGGAACTGGGACATGGCTGCCACAGGCATGGGGACACTTTGTCACCATGGGCACTGCCACACGGCCACGACGGGCACAGGGACATCGTGTCACTGCAGGCACCGCCACACGGGCACTACAGGCACTGTGGGCTCTGGGACATGGCCACCGAGAGCACCGAGGGCTCTGTGGGCACTGCAGGCACCATGGGCACTGTGACACAGCCACCGAGGGCACTGTGGCCACCACAGCCAGGGTACAGCCAGGGCACTGCAAGCACTGTGGGCGCCATGGGCACTGTGGGCATCGGGACATGGCCATCACAGGCACCATGAGCACCACAGTCACCATGGGCACTGTGGGCATCGGGACATGGCCATCACAGCCACCATGGGCACTGTGGGTGTCAGGACATGGCCATCACGGCCACCATGGGCACTGTGGGCATCGGGACATGGCCATCATGGCCACCATGGGCACTGTGGGTATCAGGACATGGCCATCACGGCCACCAAGGGCACCACAGCCACCATGGGCACTGGGACATGGCCACCATGGGCACTGTGGGCACCATGGGCACCAGGACTAATAGCAATGCATTAATCTCATGATGATAATAATAATAATGATAATAATAACGCTGAAAATATTAGTAGAAGTGAAATTAGTTTCATGATGATTATGATAATAGTAAAAATGAAAATGTTAGTAGAAATAGATTCGTTCCATTATTATAGTGATAAAAATGTTAATCAAAACGAATTAATATAATAATATTAGTAAAAATCTTAATAGAAATGTATTAATACAATAATAAAAGCATTAATAGAAATGTATTAATCTCATGATGATTACAATAAAACATTAGTAGAAATATGTTAGTTTCACTATCATAGTAATAATAATGAAAATATTAATAGGAATTCATTAACCTCACGATGATAATTCATGACGATAATAATAATACCAATAATAACAAAAATATTAATAGAACCACATTAATTCCATGCCCATCCCCTGCCATGCTTGGCACTGGTGGCACATTAAGGTGGCCAAACCCCCCCACTACCCGCATTGCCCAAACCCACGGCAACTTCCAAACCCACAACGAGCTCCAGGTGTGCCCAGGTGTGTCCCGTACCTTGCAGACCCGTGCCACCACCTGCTCAGCATACCCATGCCAACTTCCCACCCCTCAACCAGCTCCAGGTGTGCCCAGGTGTGTCCCGTACCTTGCAGACCCGTGCCACCCGTGCCACCACCTGCTCGGCGTAGCAGTCATACTCGACGGCGCGCTCGCTGAAGAAGAAGTAAACCTTGTCATCGTCACCGCTGCCGCTGCCCGCGCTCTCGGGCACGAAGGCCGACGCCACGAAGTGGGGCTCTGTGAAAGCAGAGTGGTGTCACGGGTGTGTGACATGTCCCCGTGCCCTCCCTGTGCCCTCCCCGTGTCCCTGTCCCCAGAGAGGGGCTCTGTGAAAGCAGAGTGGTGTCACGGGTGTGTGACATGTCCCTGTGCCCTCCCTGTGCCCTCCCTGAAACTGCAGTGTCACAGCTGTGCCCTCCGTGTGCCCTCCCTGTGCCCTCCCCGTGCCCCTGTCCCTGCTGTGCCCTGTGCCCTCCCTGTGCCCTCCCCGTGCCCCTGTCCCT